CTGCGGCTCCAAGCCCAGTAGCAAGCACATTGACCTCTGCTGCTCCATCTCTTGTGGCTTCCACGTTGACTTCAGCTGCTCCAAGCGCAGTAGCGAGCACATTGACCTCTGCTGCAGCATCGCCCGTAGCTTCTACATTGACTTCTGCGGCTCCAAGCCCAGTAGCAAGCACATTGACTTTCGCTGCTTTAAGCCCAGTAGCTAGCACATTTTCCTCTGCTGCTCCATCACCTGTGGCTTCTACATTGACTTCTGCAGCTCCATCGCCTGTAGCTTCCACATTGACTTCCGCTGCTCCATCGCCTGTATCCTCTACATTGACTTCTACTGATCCATCGCCAATAGCAAGCACAGTGACATCAGCAGCTCCGTCGCCTGTCGCCTCCACCTTGACTTCTGTTACTTCACCACCTGTAGCTTCTACATTGACTTCTGCTGATCCATCGCCGGTAGCAAGCACAATCACGTCAGCTGCCCCATCGCCGGTCGCTTCTACATTGACATCAGCAGATCCTAGTGCTGCCGCATCAACAACTATTGCGGTAACAGAATCGCCCAATCCCGTCTTGCCATCACCAAGTGAGTCTTTTTAGGCTTGACGAAATCGTAATAAATGGGCTCTCTGAAAAATAAATCTTCAATAGCTGTGGCACCTTCTACAGTCGCTGCTCAGACAAGTGCTGATCCCAGCCCAGGTAAAGGCATGTTGTCGCTTTACACTTCAAATTTTGTGATTCAGTGGTCGACGTCAACCTGATGCATCATTGCAATAGTTGCCTCAACCATTGTTGCTTCCGCTGATCCTAGTGTAGCTCCGTCGCCTACACCAGTTGCTGTTACTGTATCTCCGACTCATTCTGTTCCGTCGCCCAGTGAGTTCGGATCCTTGTGAAATCATTCATGTTGTATTTTCTTACAATCTCACCATGGATACCTGTGATACCATCAACAGTTGCTGCTCAAGCCAGTGCTGATCCCAGTCCAGGTATAGCGTTAGGAGAAGCAGGCGTCTGTTGTTGCGATTTTTAACATCTCATTTGATTAGTTGCATCAGCTGATCCTAGTGTAGCTCCAACAACAACAGCTGTCGCCGTTACAGCATCGCCAAATTCTGTTGTCCCGTCTCCAAGTGAGTTCGTATTCTAGTAATATTCATGTTGCATTTGTTCACCATCTCACTTGATTAGCTGTGATAGTATCAACAGTTGCTGCTCAAGCAAGTGCCGATCCCAGTCCAGGTATGCGGTTCGGCAGAGCCACATATTTATTGAACGGATCTTGACGTTTGCGTTTGATTAGTTGCATCCGCCGATCCTAGTGTAGCTCCAACAACAACAGCTGTCGCCGTTACAGCATCGCCTAATCCTATTGTCCCCTCGCCAAGTGAGTTCTGATTCCAGTAGTATTCATGTTGCATTTTCTCACCATCTCACTTAAATAGCTGTGATACCATCAACAATTGCTGCTCAAGCAAGTGCTGATCCTAGTCCAGGTACGCGGTCGGTAGAGCCACATATTTCTTGGACGGATCTTGACGTTTCGTTTGATTAGTTGCATCAGCCGATCCTAGTGTGGCTCCAACAACAACAGCTGTCGCCGTTCCAGCATCGCATTATCCCATTGTCCCCTCGCCAAGTGAGTTCTCATTCCTGTGATTCCTTGCATTTTCTCACAATCTCACTTAAATAGCTGTGATGCCATCAACAGTTGCTGCTCAAGCAAGTGCTAATCCTAGTCCCGGTACGCGGTTCGGTAGAGCCACATATTTCTTGAACTTATCTTGACGTTTCGTTTGATTAGTTGCATCAGCCGATCCTAGTGTAGCTCCAACAACAACAGCTGTCGCCGTTCCAGCATCGCCTTATCCTATTGTCCCCTCGCCAAGTGAGTTTTCTTTCCTGTAATTCCTTGCATTTTCTCACAATCTCACTTAAATAGCTGTGATACCATCAACAGTTGCTGCTCAAGCAAGTGCTGATCCCAGTCCAGGTATGCGGTTGGCAAGAGCTATGCTTTTATTTATTGAACCGATCGTTGACGTATCATTTGATTAGTTGCATCAGCCGATTCTACTGTAGCTCCAGCGACAACAGCGGTTACAGCATCGCCAAATTCTGTTGTCCCGTCTCCAAGTGAGTTCGTATTCTAGTAATACTCATGTTGCATTTGCTCACAATCTCACTTAAATAGCTGTGATACCATCAACAGTTGCTGCTCAAGCAAGTGCTGATCCCAGTCCAGGTATGCGCTTGGGAAGAGTTATGCTTTTATCTATTGAAGCGATCGTTGACGTATCATTTGATTAGTTGCATCAGCCGATTCTAGTGTAGCTCCAACAACAACAGCTGTCGCGGTTACAGCATCGCCAAATTCTGTTGTCCCGTCTCCAAGTGAGTTCGTATTCTAGTAACATTCATGTTGCGTTTGCTCACCATCTCACTTGATTAGCTGTGATAGTATCAACAGTTGCTGCTCAAGCAAGCGCTGATCCCAGTCCAGGTATGCTCCTCGGCAGAGGCAGTGCATTTATATAACCGATCTCTGACATTTTATTTGATTAGTTGCATCAGCCGATCCAAGTGTAGCTCCATCACCAACAACTGACCCGGCTATAGCGTCGCATATTTCTATTTTCCCGTCTCCGAGTGAGTTCACATTCTTGCGAAATCGTTCCAGTGGCATATTCTCACAATCCAGAATCGAACTACGAATAGCTGTAATACCATCAACAGCTGCTGTTCAAATAAGTGTTGGCCCAAGTCCAGGTATGGCTCTCAGGAGAGTCAAGAAGTTGTTGATAGCATCTGTCTGACACTTTATTTCTTTAGTTGCATCAGCATTTGTTGCTTCAGCTGATCTTAGTATGTCCCCATCGCCAGCAAGTGTTGCATTAACAGCGTCGCCAAATCTTCTTGTACCGTCCCCAAGTGAGTTTTTGATTCTCGACGAAACCTTTCTCTGTGCCTGCACTCACAATCTGACAACGAATAGCTTTGATACCCTCAACTGTAGCTGTACAAACAAGTGCGCCTCCTAGTCCAGGTATGATGTTTTGGATGTATTGTTTGTACTTTGCAAGATTCGCTCCACGTTTGTCAATCATTTAACATCTTTGGTTTCAATCGTTGCATCATCCATTGTTGCCTCAGCCGATCCTACTGCTGCTTCAGCAAGAACTGTTGCTGTTACTGCATCACCGGCTGCCAACGCTCTGGCATCGGCAGCACCATCGTTCAGTGAGTTTGTGTTTCTTGCTGAATTCACTAGTCTTTTATCTAACATGACACCATGAATAGCTGCAGTGCCTTCAACCGCTGCTCCCGAAACTACTGGAAATCCTGGTAATATCTCATGGAACCACTCCTTCTGCAGGGGTAAATTTGGTATTCAAACACGTTTTTCCTTATAGCTGCCTCACCAATTGCTGCCTCCGCCGTTGCAAGTGCCCAAGTAATCGCCTCACCTACTACCGCGGTAGCGGCTCCTACCACCGTTCAAATACAAGCTTTGCCAGTGCCAGTAACAACTCAAGTTGGCCAGGTTTCGACTTTGGCACAAGGTAAGCATTCGTTGAGACTTTTCCAAGGTTATTATGAGCTCCTTGCTCACAGATTTATATTGCTTAGCTTCCGGTGCCTCAACCTTAGCAACTGTCGCTAGTAGTGTTACTGCCACTGTTTCAGTTGGTAAGCAAAGAATAAATCTGTTGGTGGGGAGGACCCATGTCTAGCTAATTAACACACTTTTCCAAACGTTTAGTCGTACCATCTAGTCCTTCATCTTCACCAACAGACGGTAAGTCACGTTAGAAATTTTCTATGATCCATTCGTCAGACACGTGATACTAACAGTTTCGTTCTCGTACTAGCTGCCGCAGGATCAACCAGTACAACCCCAATCATCGCCGCTGCTTCGGTAGTCGGTGTGGGATCAGCCGCTTCAGTTGTCCTGCTCATTCGTCGCAGAAGCAGAAGAAATATCGTTGAGCCGGTCGTTGACAACCCATTCACCGCACCTGATGCCAGAGTCTCAATGGACAACCTTTCATATGCTCCAAAACGAGGCTTCCAAGCCAACGCTCTATACGAAGGACCGGATTCGACTAGCAGTGAATGGTCAGCTCCAGTTTCTCGAATGAAATCTGCTGGTACTCAGGAGTTCTTATAGAGGAACCCATTTTACTTTTAATCAAGTTTTAACTAATGAGGTTGAGAAAATATACCACAAATTTGTTGTCATTTCAAATACAATTTCATTGATACCTCGTAACCAGCACTTTTGTGAAAAGTCAACGCCATGGATACCCACGCAAAAGTGTCTTTTGTCTTTTGCGTGACCTGGCTTTCCTTTGACGTGCAAAGCACGTGGCGTACATCGCGAGAACCTTCATTGTTCGCGTTAGAGTAAGAGAATTCGTTCAGCCAAAAAAAATCATGGCATCCTGTTTCTAGCTACTGTTTCTAGCTACATTTTTCGCGTCGCAATGGTCAGCGGGATAAAGTGGTTCAAGGTAAGCAAAGAGTGGTCTCATCCTCAAAGAATGTCCAGATACTGCAATTACATCTTATATTAACCGTCTCGTTTCAATGATCTTTAGAATCCAACACCGCAGGAGAAAATGGTTGCCCCGGTTCCAATTCCTGCAGGAGAGTTCCGGGTGTACCGGACTCGATGGCCAGCCCTTATAATCCTGTTTCTGCAGAATATGGGCACTGGAGTATCCACTGGCTATTTCGCCAGCGTTACCAATCTTCTTGCATCTTACTATCAAGGTACTGCTTTGTTGTTATCCAAGCCAATGACGACGTAAAGCTGAATCGTTATTTGGGCATTTTGTCTTTATATAGTCGCAGAGTTCCAGATCAATCTGTTTTCAATCATGAATGTAAGTGTCGGGAGGTGCTGTTGGTGTGTCGCTGGGCGGTTTTCATTATTCCTTTGCAAACCCACACACCACACAACAACATTATGAAATACATGTGACTAAGTTACTTTCTCTCTTCCTTTGTAGTTTGCCTTCTTCATACCGGCTTCATTCGCAGCAGCAGCGCTCCTAGACAAACAAGGTCTTCGAGCTTCATGCATAACAGGATCGAGTCTAAACATACTGGGGACACTGCTATTCCTCATCTCAAACTATGTACCAAATCCATACGTAGCTGCCTTGTGTGGTCAGATCATCGCTGCCATGGCCCAACCATTCCTGTTTAACGCTACAACCAAGCTCGCGGCGTTATGGTTTGGTGAAAAGGAACGTACATTGGCTAATACGCTGTCGTCGATTGGGAATCCGATTGGAATTGCTGCTATTGTGGGTTTGGCACCTTCTATTATGAATGGGGATCCGAACAATACGCCTACTTTGGTATGCTTTGGTCGATGTAACAAAGAAAAACACCGCTCCCCGTTCGCAACATTTTACTTACCCAATATTTCATTAGAACATTGTATTGTTTGTAACTTGTACGTGCCTGGGGCTGACATCTCTTGCTACGAGGAACAAGCCTCCCACTCCACCAACACCCTCAGCCGACGAAGTTACTGAAAAATTCTTTGCTGGATTGGTGAATACCCTTAGCAATGGGCAGTTCTGGGTACTGATGGCTGTATTTGGTCTAGTTGTTGGTATGTCAAACGGGAAGGGTTGAGGTCAAAGATGTGATATTGCACGTGTGTCTCAAATTCTCTTTGTCTGCCAGGAATGTTCAATACCCTCGTAACATACATTTCGGACTTGGCTGTTCCATACGGCTTTACGAATGATGAAGCCGGCGTCATTGGTGTCCTAGGTACGTCTAACGTCCTTCGCTACACAACTCGTCGTCTGAGTTTCACTTCTTCTTCCATTAGCCATCGCAACAGGTCTTGTGACAGCCGGAGTTGTAGGAGCCATACTAGATCAAACAAAAGGTCACAAAATTGCCATAAAAGCTCATAGCTTTGTGGCTGCAGTAGGAATGATTTTCTTTGTGTTGGCATTGCAGTATCAGTCAACACCACTTGTGTATATCGGTGCTACGTTGATTGGTGGTGGTGGATTCCCACTGATACCGATTATACTGGAGCTGGGAGTGGAATGCACGTATCCTGTTGATGAGGGGACGTCTTCTGGGTAAGACAAGACGTTTTTTTTCGCATCCAACATTAAATCATCCCAACCAATGAAACTCAAACTCATTCCATCCTCTTAGACTGTTATGGATGATATCGAATCTATCCGGCGTAATCTTTGTCATTGTCGCGGCTCATCTGCGAACATCAGATGGCAAAATGTTTAACTCGGCAATCATGTTGGCAGTCATTGCAGGTGTGGCCTTTTTAATGAGCTGGCTCTATACCGCCACATCTCGCCGTGTTGCCTTGGAAAAGGCTGTCGACGAGGAGGTGGAGAGGTCGCGAAATTCAATAACAGCTTCGGCGTGAATAAGTGACACTCATATATCTTGTTTGGTGAAGACATATAGCTTATTTATACCAGTTGAATCATGTGTTGGCTTCTTTAGTCAAATTGCGTTTTTCAGAGAACGAAGCAAAAAAGCTCTCCTCAAATACAGAAGTATGTTGTCTCACTCACACAAACACACAAGCACATGATATGTCAGATATTAAATTTTATATTTATGTGTACATGGCATCGCTATTGCTGTTTCTATCACTATACTAGAAACTATCGGGTACCAGGAGCAGCATACTGTTCCCTCTCCCTCTTGAAGAAGAACTGCAAGCTGAAGGTTCCCGAATCCCTATCCCAAAAAGTCCAAAATCTCGAATCAGCCCGATCGATTTCCCGACTCTGCACCTTGAAAGATATAGTCTCGTATGGTTCAGCAGCAAACAGCAAGTACTGGTATGCTTTATTTGGCGGCTCGATATGTTGTTCATACGACGACATGAATCGATGTCGTGGTTGTACGTCTTCAGTGATTTCTGGATATTGCACTTGGAAGAGTAATCCGAGTTGCTTTGTGACTGGGTCTCGTATTTTAGTGACCTTGTATCCGGGACGACCTATTTTTACAGCTATTTTACGTGGTTTTATATTCATTGACTGGGTGGCGTTAGCACCAGTGAGTAGCTGTACAGATGGGCCATTATCAGAGGCATCTTTGGCAGCGCGTCTAGCTAGATTCTGTTGATGTTTTTTACCCTGAGTGTGAGCGAGATAGGAGCCCTCGTTTGTGTGTAGAGTCAAGCATAGTTTGCATTCGTAGGAACCGAGATGGTTTCGCATAAAATAAGGGTCTTTGGCTAGGTCGATAGTTTCTAGGGCGAGTTTACGGAGTCGTTCTCGTCTGTCAACATTTGATTCTGATGCACCTGCGACACCGCCAGAGCCAGGTTTGCTGCCTGCTCTGTTTTGGAAATCTAGTAATAAATTGGAATGAGAATAGACTGAGTAAGTACTTGATACATTCTCGTAGAAGAGTTCAGATGCTCTAATGTGCAAAATGAACAAAATCACAAAAAACAGTAATGGGGAGGCCAACAACGAGAAAAGACAGATGAAATACAACTCGATATACATGATGCATGACTTACCCATGATGTCTAGTGTCTTCTTTGCTTTCCCACTTGAGCTGCGAATACAATTCTCTGGACAATTCTATAGCACCGATTTGGCTTGAAGGAAGGTCAACGGAACAAACAACACGCGTGGGATCACGAACTGAACGCGTTCGTTTTCCACGTGAATTCTGCCAGTTAATAAATCGCTCGGACGATACTGTGCTTTGTCAACAAACCATCCCTCCCAGAAGGTTCTTGTCCACTTGACTAATTTTACAGTGTCTTTTGCAGACAAAGCGGTATGTTTGAATTGTAGCAGATCGTGTGTTATTTAGCTTCTCTTGATTCTTAGACTAAATCCCCTCTTCGCGTAATAGACACCTCAGTCGAAGCACCAAGTTTTCATCACTTTGACGACAAGTTTGCTGGCGGGAGCAATCAACATTGCGACTATATACTGACAATGGATACTACCAATACCACTGCTCCTGCTGATGCTAAATCAGCCAGAATCGTGCACATGGCCCCATCTTCCTCCTCAATGTCACTATCATCACCCGCCAACAATACCAACAACACCCGTCTAGTCCCCCACAAGATAAAATACGACATACACTCATTCTCCTCCCACTCGGCCTCATACCACCCTAAACACATCCAAACAAACAAACCGAATGATCAGGGCTCGCGCTGGTCGTCTGGCTCAAACAACCAGTCACAATTCATTAATATCAAACTAGACAAGATGTCGATCGTCCAGACAATCACGTTTGGCAAATATCATAAGGTTCATGTCTGTAATCTGAAAGAGTTCAAGGTGTTTGGAGGGTTGACGCCAGATAATATGATTGAGTTGCTGCATTCAGGGCTGAGGAATGATACAGAGTCTGAGACCTTCTCGCTAAAGTACAAGGTTAACAATGTCGTAAGTGATTATGCTCTATACGAGAAGTTACTCGCTTGTTGCTGCCCGACCATGGGAGGGATGATTGAATTGGGACAAGACAACGGATCCAAGATTCGTCGCAAAGATGATCTAACTTCGAACACATATAAAACGCAACTGATTGTCATGGCCCGAATATGGGAGGGTTGTTTACAGCAAGCCAGACAGACATGGATTTAGTATAGGCAATTTGCAAAGCAAGAGTCTAAAGGATTTCTAATCGTGTTAGGTATTCCCTTGCTTGTATATCAAGATCCTTCCATTGCTAGCCTGGGGTGCCAACTTTAACTTTTCCATCTGGTTTGTCGAGTTACGTGGATTATCGCAGCCAGAAGTTGTAGAAAAGGCTTATTGGGACTATGTCAATGTAAACGTCTACCAGCATTCATTTTCGCCACCATTGTCATACAGCTTACACCCCTCGCACGCTTTAGTACCGAGAACACGAAGTCGTCAGACTATGTCTAAAACACTTTAGACAACGAAACTATCTAGACACGTTCTCATCACTTCAGCAACGATCCCACATACAATTAGAAGACTCTCTACTATCTGAACTCCACAAATCTCTAGTCTTGAATGGCGATTTCGGTCATGCAGAGGAATTGTTTGCTCAAGCCGCTGAACGAGAACTCTTTCACGAGCATATATCGGGCTGTGATTATACTCCCTTCTGGAAGAAGATTGCGTCGGATGAGGAATCACCTTGTATGAGAGGTGGTCATCAAATGACGATTGATGTGGAGAGTGGTATCATTTATTTGATTGGTGGATGGGATGGGCAACGGGATTTGGCTGATTTCTGGGCCTTTGATCAGAATACGAGACGGTGGACTTGTATAAGTGCTGATACGACAAGGTATGTTGATGAGTCGTGGTGTCCGTCTGTGCAAACGTAATTTTGGCATCTGGGTGCCGAGACCCCAACCCAACACTGCAACTAACACCACAAATTTGAAATAGAAATGGTGGACCAGGACCGAGATCATGTCACAAGATTTGTTGGGATCCAAAGACAAGATCAGTCTATCTGCTGGGTCGATATGTAGATCCAGATAACCGACCCAATGTCAACCTAGAATCAGATTTTTGGAGATATGATGTCGCTGCTGGAAAATGGATTCGTATCAGTGCCAACACTGCTGTGAGTGATGTGGACCACATATCAATAGTAGCTCTGGCGTTTTTTCCCCTCCCTAACACAGCGGTCCTGACAAATTCGTAAATTTTCCAGGCTGACGGAGGTCCAGAACTCATCTATGATCATCAGATGTGTGTGGATCCAGACCCACAGGTCTTGTACGTGTTTGGTGGTAGAGCCATTGGACCTGATGCATCACAGACTATATACTCTGGATTGTATGCTTACTATATTGCCCAAGATCGTTGGAGAGTGCTCAGACCTGAAGGTGCTCCCGCCGATGGTAGTGTCCAACTCCGATCACGTATTGGTCACTCGATGCTCTTCAACCATCAAACTCGAGAACTCTACATCTTTGCCGGACAACGAAACAAGGATTATTTAGCCGATCTTTACGTATATGATATTGAAAACGATCTAGTGCATGAAATGTCTCGAGACTATTCCAAGAATGGAGGTCCAGATGGTGGATTTACACAACGGGCCACGATTGACGTAGACTTGGGTGAATTCTATGTATTTAGTGGATTGATGCGAGAAAAGGCATCGGGTCCCCAAGCCGAGTCAGCCAAAAACTCGTTCTGGGTATATTCGCTACGAAAGGACAAGTGGACTCGAGTCTACTCCAACGATAATGTAGGAACCGAGTATTGGGCAAGAATGGCTGATCGAGAACCATGTCCGCGGTTTGCCCATCAACTCGTATATGATAATATCCGTAAATCCCAATTCCTGTTTGGTGGAAACCCTGGTGAACCAGGCCAGCCCAATCTACGTCTAGATGACTTTTGGGAGTTGACGCTAGTACGACCCACCACTAGTGATGTCCTAAGACGGGCCCGTTTCCTGATCAAACGACAACAGTTTAGAGAGTTGTGTCGATCTGATAATCAGCTGGGGGCGCTTTCATTCCTGCAACAAGAGTTGGGAGCTGTTGTCAATCATGCTGATGAAAAGGAGTCGAAAGAGTTTAGAGAGTTGACTCAGTGGCTCTTCAAATGGGGTACGTCGCCTGTATGGAACAATAATAGTGGAAATAATGTCAGTAGTGGTGTTGTTAAAGGTGCAGAATTGAGTGGTATTGGAGGACTTGTTGCTAGTCCTTCGAGGGGGTCATCATGTCAAGGAAGAGGTGAGTGCATGTTGTGACACGTTCAAATTGAAGTCTGGCGCTCTAGACACTTCCGGTGTTAAAATCCTTTTTTTCGCGTCTGCTTTTAGAAGATCCATATGTTGCACGAAGCACGTTATATGAGCAGTTATTGGACTTTTTCCCAGAATCTATGCGGGAGCCTCGAGGTAATCTTACCGAATTGGTATCCATGGCCTAGAACGACAACACACAGTGGCAAGGTTGAAATCTTCCAACAAAAAATTATATAATGGTGGCTTTTCATAATTGAAAATTGGCATGTATCCCAGCAACAGCTTTGTATTATATAACACTAGAGCAAACAGGTAAAATATACCTAAGTTAAGAGCATAAGTTTGAGTGCAAGTTTCAGAGTGAGCAAAACAAGAACCAGGGCCAAATGGATGCGATAACATGCATCCTGACGTTCCAAGCAATCCTATGGATAAGATGACTTTTGCTGGGTTATCGCAGTGAATTAAGAGAAGAAATTAGGCATTTACATTGGGTTGAGGACTTCAAGACCTCAATGTACCGTGGAATATATAACATGAAATGGAGGCGTCGTAGCGGCAGTTTCGCAATGTGAACCCCTGCTAGTCTACACGTTTTTGCCTAATAAGCGAGGTAAGTCACCAGGTAAAAGCCAAAAAAGGATGTTCGACAATGACATACTTGCGAGTCTTAATTCTCGAATACCACACCATTCCCACCAGACTCGTCACAACGCCCACCCCCTTAAGGACACTTATATCCCCACTACTGCCGCCACTCAACAGCATCCCAACACCCAACGTAAGTACTGTCTTAAAGTGGCCAACTACTTGATACGTAACAGCTCCCGTACTCATTATAAGCGAAAACCCAAAATAATTAGCTGCAACAGCCAACAAACACGTTGCTAGAATATACGGTACATTCACGTCCTGATTGGTAAACAGTGCTGGAATCGCAGATGATTCAAAGATAAGTGAGGCCAGTATACATATAATCGACGTGTATGGCGATATAACCGCCACGAGCTGTAACCCATCGTACTGTTTCGCAGAGTGCCGGTTTGCAAGCCATACTTGTCCTATTGCTGTTGTTGCGACTGCGAGAGATCCGTATATCATTCCAAGTGGGTTGAGTGATAGTTCACGAATGGTGGAGAGCCCGACACCGGTCAGTATAAGTGATAGACATGTTGTTGTTTCGAGTGGGATGTGTGTAGAGTAAAGGATCCGTTGAAGTAGGACTATACATGGTATGCACGCCATTTTGAGGAGCTGGTATATCCCGACCGAGTTGTGTTTTAGGGATATGTTCATGAAAACTACGCCGAGGGAGTATGAGGTGCCGAGGAGCACGGCTTCTTGTGTGTTTAGTGGTGTTGGGATGTGGAGTTGGTGCGTTGATGTTAGCAGGTAGGTGAATATCCAGCAGAATATCTAAACAACAGTAAAATTATGCGTCAGATGCCACTACGATTAAGATCTTGATTCAAGAACAAAAGCTGGCAACATGATTGTTACTTGATGGAATGCAGTCAAAGCAGTTGGAAACGGAAATCCTGTCATTGCCAGCTTGTTTACTAGTACAATAAATACAGATGACGCGATATTTCCTATGATTATCAAGATGGTGGCATAGTTTGATGGATTGTTCTTCAAACTTAATACTGCTGTATGTGCCGATGCTTTCTTGGATGAGTTGGAGACGGGAGACGGGAGAGAGGGCGATGATACTTGAATGGGGCTACGCCTGCGTCGTGACTCGTCCACCATGATCTATATATGGTGGTCGTTGTTGCTGGAATTTAAGCAAGTTATCGAAACAATATGGAGGGCACAGGTACTCGGGCAGACTCCGACTCTTCAAACACGATTCCGCATTTCTGAATACTTTTGGACGCGTAATTACATGTGTTCCAGTGTTCTGTTCTGTTGAAGGAGGGCTTGCTGCCAAGTTGCAAAACCAAAAACATCCAAAATAGACGTGTTCTATATCTCGTGTCGAGTCCTAAGGCCGAAGTTCAATCAAATACATGTTGCTTGTGACTCTCGGGTGTCTATTCTAGACCGACCGTCTTGCAACATCCTGTGAAATCACGTAACTTGCACATCGCACAATCGCAGCAAGCAAACCATTCAAAAACTCTCAAACTGGAACCGCACCTGCACTTTTAGCCTAAGTTATCAATATTATATCATGTCTCTCAAGATTTACTCGTACAGATACTTCACCGTGGCCCAAGGCACATGGGAGACTGTCGCAAAACAGATTCAAACTACTGGTGTTTCAAAGACAACTGCTAAAGGAGGTGCTCTTTACATAGTGTTTGGAAATCCTAGTTCTATTGGTATGCAAAGGCAATACTTCTTCCTCGGTCGTTGCGATCCGTTGAGCATCAAGCCTGAAGTCGGCTGCTTTTGGGACTCGTGGATTCGTCGATTCGTGACTCGCGGAAGAGAGGTGGCACTGTATGCTTAGCAGTTATTTTCTTCTAGGACTCGCTTACAATGAAGGAATTGCTATTACGGGTGCGTATCCTTCATGGCCTGGCTCGAAAGAACCTACTGCGACCATGAAAGTTCGAACGGCATTTTGGAGTCTCACCTGTCTTTGCTTTCACATCTAACCACGTGCTTTCACCTTAGTCTGGCCAGACATTGATTCAGCAACACGATATGGACATTTAATAACCGACGTTCCCAACGTGACATCGAGCAGACAGGAAGCAATAATGGAACCAACGGTACGACCCACGTCGTCGTCTCCTCCAACACGCCAAGGAATCTATGCACATCGATACTTTGATGTCAAGAATGAGAATCTTGAAAGTAAGAACTGGCCTGAATATTGTGCAATACAACACTTTCCCAGGTCTAACAAACCCTTGTGTTCCAAGAATTCATCAAAGTCTCAGAAGAAGCCTGGAAGAGTTTCCAAACCGTACACAACAATATGATTTTTGGATTGTTTCGTGTACTCTCAACCGGCAATCCACTGCCAAATGGTGTGACGAGGTTACTGCTATTGACCAATTACGATAGCTTGCAAGTTTGGGAAGATTCAAGGTTTTACACGAGGACCGATGATCCCGAGTATGCCAAGTTGTTTGCATGGAGGAGCACTGTAAGTGATTTGATTCTCGGGCAGTTATTCTTCAGCAGGTTGTTAAAATCGTAATCTTAGGTAACTGAATACACCAAAGTGGTAATCAGTCGTCCCTTGTTCTTGCCCAAACTCTAGCTTGGTAATTCCGCATCTTTTTGATTCAACGAGGGACATTTCACTTTGACCTAATAAGTAACGATATTCGTCTCTTGAAATTGAGGAGAATGCGACAGAAAGAGCTTCTCTATATATTTGCTAGTTCAAAATTACTACGTAGAAGGTTTAAACCACTTTGAAACAAAGTCCCGAGTTCTGGAGACTGGAGGAGAGTAAGTTCTAGCTTCAGTTCTAGTATCAGTGACAGGCGACTTTTCAGCGTCAGGTGTCATTATCGACGCCGTGTCCTTATCAACAGGAGGTATGGACACTTCCTCGTCCGCCGTGGCTTTGGCATCCACTGCGACTGGAGCTCGCCAACCAAACCACTGTGTTCCCGCTGCTCGAGGTCCTCGAACAGCTTGGAAGAGTCCAGCCAGTAGTAGGTAGCCTATCGCTAAGACACATGTTCCCCTCCAACCAAACCTGTACAAGAAGCAAGATATGTTGGTCGTACTCGGAACTATCGGACATAAGGCACGTAAGAATCTCGTACCTTGCATATACGGCAGTCCCGGTCCCAGCGCCCAATGCAGACCCTGCAAAACTACACGTCATATACAATGCATTTAATCTTGATCGTGCAGTGGGCTTCCTTGCAAAAATACGTGTTTGGTTTGCAACTTGTGACATCTGTCCTCCAAAGTCCGACAAAAAGCCACCGACGGCTATCGCAGCGACGTAATTGCCACCTAGGCCTAGCAAGATACACCATCCAACGGTGGTAGCGAGTATGCCCAGTGTAACACCCAAGTATGGACCATGTTTGTCGATTAATCTGCCAGCGAGAGGCGCGGCTAAGGTACCAGCTATTCCGACTACAGCGAATAAACCGATTACGAATGTCGAGTACTGGAAGGGTACGTCAGATAACAAAAACGTCAAAACGGTCCCTAAAACGTATTTGAGTCAGAACCTTGAACCAGACTCTAAAACATAGTCGACTTACAAAATATGGCAAATGTTGCCTTTTGAAAAAACTGACATCCACAGCTCTGTACAAGAACAGGCTCCGTCAACATCAGTTCCACAAGGCTGAGCATCAGTTTTGGATATCCTGGCAATCCATCAGTTATCGTTGGTGGCACGTCAGGCAACAAGAAGTACAGAACTATCAGTAATCCCAGCATCAGGATGACTGCGATAATATATACCCAACGCCATGGGAAAAAGTTCTAATTGTTCAAGCATTGTGAGATTTGGTGCATACACACATGGCGATGAATACGTACCGCAACGATCCCAGCAAACATTCTCGAACACAGTATTCCCAGTGCAAGACACCCCTGGATAACTCCTAGAGTGCTTCCACGTCGTTCTGGAGGACATAAATCAGCAGCTAGTGGCATCAGTATTTGTGGACTGACTGTCAAGATGCCGACAAACAGACTAAGTAGAAAGGAGAGTGCATACGTTATTGCCCGCTGCAAATCCACGAGAAATTGATTGACAAGTAATTTATACAGCAAATCAGCACGTATTGCTCAGAGTCCTACCTCAACACTTCAAACAATACCGCATTGAAACCGCCAGCCATCAGAGCAGTAAAAATCATACACAGAGCTATTGTAGCATTGATGAGCTGCCGCCTCCTCACTAGATCACCCTGCAAAGGCAACAGCTTCAGTACGGATTGTGCTTATGATTGCAAACCACGGCAATTGGTACACACTAGGGGCACTAACACAACCATTCCAACAGCATATCCAGCCTGTGTTAAAGTCGGAACTAGACCGATCCGAGATTCCGACACTTGGAAATCATTAGCGAGCTGAACCAATAAGGGCTGGTTGTAATCTATATTGAAAAAGGTGATTTGAGCTTCATTTTTCACTCGATCGGTGTCAAATAAGCACAAATCGTTAGCTTACAAACATTGCCAACCATTATGAAGACTGAGATTCCCCATATATAGGTGTGTGACGGTCGAAAAACGAATGTTTCTCTGTTGAACGATGCTGATGCCGGAACTCCAAGTTTGAACCGTTTCTTCGCCTCAGGAGGAGCATCAGTAGCCTTCGTAGCATCCTGTATGGTTTCTCGGAAGTCCATTGATCCCAAACTTGCTTCGATCAGTATTTGATGAGCTTCATGGAAATTGTGCAAGGCCCTGACAGACGCGAAAACGCGAGATGATTTGAAAGCGAACTTCAATGCGACGTATTACATGATGACCATTGATTACTTTACATATGCTACAGTACAAAATGCCAGCAAACCCCCCGAAGTCAACGCACAGGATGACGACTCTTCACAGATCGTCGACGTAGTTCCCATTAGCGGCAGACTGGTCTGCTAAAATATCATCATCTATATCCGGCAGTGGGAAATGCAATATAGCTGCGACACCGGATAATTGATTCAGCTGCTCTCCAGTGACGTGGAGTGTGGAAAAGACTTGTACTGTTCCACCTTGAGCCTGTACACGCTCCACAAGATCAATGTACTTTCTCCGTGTAGGTACATCTGCTGATCTGCGTTGTGTGTGGAGGAGTTAGGATTTGTACTTGGTGTAGGAAAAATAAACATGAGATTTAAAACACGCAGAACGCGTGCAGCAACACACAGAGACATACAACACGTACCTAAAAAGTCCATCTGTAACCATCAAAACCTCAATACCACCACTATCAGCTGCCTTATCGCAATGCTCAAATCCATAGTATGCTCGATCCGGATCTTGAGCCAACGTAATGTAAAAGCGTTCCAAGGTCTTTACTTCCTGAGCATATTTGGTGTCTGATAGTCGAGCCTGTATCGCGGGCTGCTCTAGTACTTCTTTCAAAGCATGTTTGTGTCCTGATGAGCAGTGTACCAACAAGATTTTTGGCTTGTTTTCTATAATGACTTTATTATCGGTCTTGATTGCTTCAGCCATCATGTATGAGAAGAATTGATCCTATGTGGGTGAATGGCGTGAGTTGATTTCGTGGCTCGAATGTTCCACTGGTAAAGGTGTTTGTTTTGGATACCACACAAACGATTGACTACACATACCTTAACAAATCCAGGCGAAGCAACAATCAGCACCTTGACAACATTGAAATCTACATGACGTAACACGGCCTGATACACTTGCTCATAGAACTTGGTCAGCCCTTTCTCATAATTGGTTACAGATCCTTTACGTTTACGCGGTACGGGGGTTTCAATTCTAGCTCTGACAACGGTCATGGATTGTGTCATGAGACATACATTGGCTAGACCTTCTTGAAGGACTACAGCTGCAATGTCGGCTTTGGTAGAGATATCACAAGCTTCATCTATTCGATTCAGAGCGATAATGTCCCATTCTAGCTTTTTGAGAGTGAAGGGCCTATTCAGCTCCAAGTCGATTGTGTGATAAGCGCCCATCTAAATTAAGGGGTACAAATACCCCTAGATTCTTAGATTAAATCTTTTACGGCATGCACACCAGCTACACTCGACCTGCTTTTTGGTCTGCCAGTAGTCACATACATAGACCTACCTTGACATATTTATTTTCTGTGATATTTCGTCCATTGACACGCAACACTCCAGCCTGAGTATCGAATTCAACAGACTCGACAGATATCTCCAACGTTATTCGTACAGATGACTTGTCGGTTGAGCCCGTAGCAGTTTCAGACACCACTTTTCTACATGAATTTGCGTCGGATTACAGCTATTTCATCAAAACATAACTGCAAATAATCAAACAAACTTGCCTAACCGTGTTTGCTTTTAGCTGATCATCTTTTGCAATCAGATTGTATGCATGCCACATATCTTCCAGCTCTTCTGGAATAAGGCTGACGGCTCCTGATTTGTCTTTCTCTATAAGCTTCCGAACGAGCTTCATTGCTTCTACTTCCTGATAGTGTGTTGCTTCAAGTTGTGAAAAAATTGAATGTATGTGTAGAAAAGCTAAACATCCAGCTAAACATTTAGCGGAGTCCAATCTGGTGGGAAACTGTGTCTTTCTTCTTCTCATTTCTCATCAATAAGTTACGTGTATTTCTACATTTTTACGTGTGTCAGGGTACAAGTGCTTGGTGCTTGGACGATTATCAACAAACAGCTTCTCAGTATCTAGCTATTTGGTTCTAGATTCGGCAATCTACCCTTTTGATCCTTTCGGTTTATTGCGTCTGGAGCAGCCTTCAGCAAAAGTTGGACAAGCTCATCGCTTTCAGAACCTCTAGTATCACATGCCACATGCAGTGGTGTTCGTCCATCAGTTTCAAGGGAATACGGATCCGCCCCGTGTTTCAGTAAGATCTGTGCTATGTTGAAACTGTTCTTGCCACCACTAGCTGCCTTATGAAGAGGAGTGCATCCAAGCTCTGAGCTAGTAGTATTAGCGTCAGCTCCAGCGAGTAGCAGGGCCTCCACAACCTCTATAGAGCCTGCACGAGCAGCGTAATGCTATATAAGTGCAGTAAGCCCACGTGAGCCAGTGATAGGTGACAATAAATGTTAGACATTACCAATGCAGCCAAGCCGCTCGAATCTCGAGCATTGACAAGGGCGTTGCGATTCAGCAGCCACCTCACTCTGTCAATATCTCCTCGACTGGAAGCTCCATGTAAGGAACGTTCAAAGTCCAGTTCATCAAGCGATTGCTCAAAAATTGATGGAGCGTGAGTATGATCGTGATGATGATGCTGATGATGCTGGCCATGCATGATTGGATTCTAAAAAATCAGAATATTTTATGATTCCTGATGCGTCGAATGTTGAAAAGTTCAACGATAACATGTTTGATGTTCACCAAAGCGAAACAGAACATGGCAAGCGCTCAGTAATTTTGATCACTACTTACTAGGTAAGACTCGGTAGAAAATCTTGAAACTATTTCATAGTTGAGAGAACTAGTCACCTTGTCCCTTTAACTCTTCGACTGATTCCTGTAATTTGTAGTTATCGCAGAATCAAGAGACGCCCCAGTGGTCTTGGAGGCAAGAAATACTTTGCATAATCATGAATTCACGTCCAGCATCACGGTCTAATTCGCTGTCAAACGTAAATGCACGCCCTCCTGTGCTTCGAGATTCAACATCAGAAAATAATTCAGCATCGCCTCCTTTTCCAAGTCGAGTGCAACAGGTTATGGACGATCTGCAGGTAAAGATCTTTTAAAAATGCATTTTCTTTGTTTGCCTAGCGTCGTACTTTGGATACTGAGGGTTGACAACGTTCAAGTTTAACAAAGTACGTTCTTAAACCACAAACAACACTTCTAGCCTCTGGCCAGACGACAGTCTTTTCACAACGAACTACCCGAATCCCCTCCAAGATCACAGTCGCCACGTACCCTTCCACGAGGACGAACGCATGATCATAGGGCACTCTCACCACCGGTACCTATTGTAAATACAGCGAACTCTATACATCCGCCTTTGAATGATGTTACTGCTGTACGCTTGTAAATTGTCTGTCTTGTTATTATTCGTGAGCGGACCTAAATGACTGAATGGATACTGACACGTCCACACCTTCATTTAGCTCGATGAATATATAACGTCAGATCCCAACAATTTGATTCAGATCTTGCCCGACCTCATAAACCTTCTCGAGCGGTTTTGTCTCGACTATCCAGAAACGTGTCAGGACGTATGGAGTAAACTGAAAATCACATTAGAGTATGCAGAACGGAAAAAAGCTGCCATAGCCAAAACGCTGCCAAAAATCGAAACACCGACATCCCCAATATGTGCTCCTATATCCTATGAATGGACTAACGTACATAATGAAGTGATACGTGATGATTACGCATACCTAAATCAAAAAGAGAATCCGCAGGTGCTCGACTATATTGAGAGGGAGAATGCTTATTCGTCAAAGATGTTGGCCCACACAAAACCACTACAAAAGTTACTGTACAAAGAATTCGTATCTAGATTAGATGAAGCCGAAGGATCAGCTTCAGTCATTATGCCAGACGGGTTTAAGTACTACACTCGGAAAGTGCCTGGCGAGGAGTATCTCGTGCACTGTAGGCAGGATCCAGAAACAGGTGTAGAAGATGTCTATCTGAACGAAAACGAGCTAGCGAATTCGGAAGCCTTTGCTGATGCCTCCTTCTTCCATTTGGGATTCTCTAAACATTCCACCGATATGAAACTGGTAGCTTACGGCATAGATTCATCAGGAAATGAACGTAATAGTGTCTTCTTCCTCAATATCGAGACCAAGGAGACTCTATCAGATAGGTTAGAAGGAGTGTACGAGCATCTCGAGTTCTCGAACGACTCAAAGTCCGCATACTATACTTTTTTGGACGATTACGAACGTGCATACCAGCTAAAACGACATCATATTGGATCAGTTGATCCACCTGTAATACTCTATCATGAAGAAGACGAAATGTTTTTCTTGACATTAACCAAATCTTGTAACAGCAAGTACATAATCTTGAACAGCTCAGCACAAGTGACGAGTGAAACACGGTATATATCAGCTGAAGATTCGTCTGATGTGCCGCATCTCTTAATACCGAGAAGAGAAGGAATGCAGTATTCATGTGAGAATCATGATGGCTGGTGGTACATCTTGACCAACGACGATGCCAAAAACAAGTGGATGTTTAGAGTGCCCGTATTGGAAAATCTAAAACCACAACCGCAGAATTGGGAAGAATGGTATGAGCATCGAGAAACCGTTATAGAACACCGTGATTTCGTCTTGGTTGAAGATTACCAACTCCGCAAGAACCACCTAGTAGTGTTTGAAAGAAGTAATTGTCTTCAAAACATCCGTATAATTGATTTGTCTGTGTCTGGGTTCACATCTTATCATTATGTCGGATTTGGCGAAATGGTTTACGCTCTCTGGCCTGGGTCAGTGAACGAAGAAGTTGCCGACTTGTCAAAAACCGCACTATTTGATACCAATATCTTACGATTCACATATACGAGTTTCGTTCAACCGAAACAAGTGGTGGACTATAATATGGATATGAGGACCATGAAAGTCGTTCATGAAGAACGAGTACAAGGAGACATGCCATACGATCCAGCACTATATAGCTCACGTCGATTGTTTGCAACAGGCATAGATGGTACGACAGTGCCTATATCTCTAGTATACAGGAAGGATCTGCTTGGAATGAATATGTTACCAGCAGTCCCAAATCCGTGTCTGCTCCATTCATATGGCGCGTACGGTGCTTGTGTGCAGCCAATCTTTAGCACAAGTAGATTATCATTACTGGATCGTGGATTCGTATATGCTATTGCCCATGTGCGTGGAGGTGCAGAAATGGGAAACGCATGGTTAGTCTCCGTCCCACGATTTAGTGATGATTTCACAATTTTCGCTTGTCATAAAAATCCACACACTTAGGTATGAAGAAGGCAAACTCTCAAAGAAGCCAAACACATTCCAGGACTTTGTGTCTGTTGCAGAATATCTATGTAAAGAAGGGTATACTTCTCCCGCCAAACTTGCCATTTATGGACGAAGCGCTGGTGGATTGCTAATTGGTGCTTCAATCAACTTGAGACCAGAATTGTTTCGATCTGCATTGACAGAGGTTCCATTTGTTGATGTTATCAATACCATGCAAGTTTGAATATCGTTTTTTGGTTTGCCACAACGTACGCAACGTGTGTAACGAGGATGATTTTTCCATACAGGTTTGATGCTTCCATCCCTTGGACCGCTTTTGAATTTGAAGAGTGGGGAAATCCAGAGAACCCTGAGATATATGACGCCATGAAAGGCTACTGTCCATATACAAACATTGACGGTGAAAAACTGGCTCAAAATATCGGTCCTCATTTGCTAGTAGTTGGAGGTCTCAACGATCCTCGTGTTGCGTTCTTTGAGCCGCTAAAATGGGTTCGTTTTTCTCTGCTCATATCCACCGGTTATTCTCATCACAATACCTCCATACCATAGACTGCCAAGATGCGTGGAGAGAAATCACGATGGAGGAAAATACTTCAACAACGTGCTCAAGACATCGACACTCATAGTAGCAGTGTATCTTCGCCTTTACGTGAGAACGCTGTCCGAGACGATCTGGACACTTTAGCAGAGCCACGGCCATCAATAAATGTCATGAGTAATATTGGTCGAGCACCGTCATGGGCAGGATCTCTAATGGATTCGCCAAGTACAACAACTGGGCCAGATGGTGTTCAAGGAGAGAAGATGTTGTTGTTACGAATCAATGACTCTGGACATGGTGGCACATCTGGCACTTACTCTTATCAGGAAGATTTAGCAATTGAGTATGCCTTTTTGATTTATACTTTGGAAGCTGCTATACGGCCCATTTTCCCTGGATTTCCTGCTTCAGAAGGTCCTGCGCTGTTGCAGGGCATGTATTCCGGACCAGTAAGTGACCTGGTCATACAAGTTTGTTCTTGAACCTTTTTCCGTGAAGTGGTATACATTGGCGAATAATACCCGCATCACCTAGGCTGCAACATTGTACGGGCTGCACGAGCATGCATCTGCACGAATATCGTCTGGACTCGCAGGCCTGGGCGTCGAAGAAGGATCGGAATCTGATGACTCTGAGTCTGCCAATGCTGCGACGATTACTAGTACAGGCAATCACGATTCTCGTGGCAAGTCGAGTGGGAAACGTAAAGGTGGTGGTGCTGCTACTGATGTAGAGGAAACAGAGTACAGGAGCCGTGGCAACAAGGGCGATCGTGGTCAATCTAAGCTTTATCAAGTGAGACTTGGGTTGTCGGTTTATTTTTTGCGGAGCGACAAGCAATCTAACAATATTCCCGTTTTGTGCAGTGGATGGCAAATTGGTTCTAGACAGTCTTGTATACACTTTTTATGGCATACACACTAGTTCACATATTAAAACACACACATATATTTTGTTCATACAGTTTACAAACTACTTTCCCACTACCACCAGTATTAAACAAACTACTTTTCAAAACTTAAAAACGAATTAGTTTCCCTCAGTTAAGTTCCACGCGCTTCAAATCTCGGCCAGATTCTTTGACGGCCTTGCTTTGTAGCTTCTTTCGGTCAGCATCACGGCCTTGGAAGCCCGCACGAATGCCTAAACACACAGCAAGATTTCAATGAGGTGACAATTACAATGAGAAACTTTATACAACGTTTGTACATACGAGCTTGCACGTATTCAGCAGCAGTTGGAGCAGCTTGAGTAGCCTCTCGTCGTGGCACAATAGGTGAAGGCACGGCCTCCAATCGTATATGATCCGAGGGACGCAACAAGTATAGCACTAAATGGAGATCCATTTCAATGAAGGAAACGACTTTGCACTTGATTCCAAATCAACTCACAATTATATCGATCTACATCTTTGATCGGTTCTTGATTCATTCCAACAGGTCTCATCACTCGATGCAGAGTTGATTTCAAGACATTACCCGTCATGTACTGCAGCGAATCAGCGATATTGCAGATTAAGGCACCAGCTAAATCACAATATGATGCGGAATGAGTTTCAATCGTTTGGGTGCAGATTCCACACTATACATACGGTAAGGTTTCACAAATCTCCACTTGTTGTCAGATCCAAGCACTTGCAAGGCAGAAAGTTCAGGATTGAACATGAGAGTGAGTGATCCAAAGTCCTACAAACGAGAACGTATTTTAGACTCGCTAAATCTTCCACTTTCTCAAAGAGATCTTTACCGTATGTCCACCAACACGAACATTCGCGCTCTTGGCATCCTCTTCCACAGATCTCGCAGGATATTTCATCATTCTCAAAACCGATCCAGATTTCTCCTCAAAGTCGTGCCTTTTCGTGAAATAGGACGTGCCTCCAGCAGATTCGGGTACTTGAAACATGATAGCAAGTAATTCCATAAGTTTCAAGCAGACCGAATGAGTAGCGCGTTGGAAGGCTTCCACTTGTGCCAGGTTCTGCTTGAATAGGTCGGGCTTGTCCCGTTTGAATGGTGGATTAGGGACTGTATACATGTTATAGACTATAAGGAGAAAGATTTCAGAAATAGTAGGTATGGTGTAAAGCTCAAAACTCACAAAAAATATATAGTGTATGGCGTAAGGCTCAAAACTCACACTATACTCACCTTCTGATAAAAGTCCAACACGCATGCCAACCGGAGTGTATCCCTCATAGTTTCCATCTTGTGAGATAACGTGCTTCAATTTCTCTTGAGCAGATTGATTAAAGTAGGTTCTTAGCTAAAGAAACGTAGAATGTAAAGATATAAGCTAACGGATTCTTTGCAAAAACTTGTAGCACACAACGAAACCGTGATGATGAAGGAGGAATGCAACCACCAAGAGGCAGCTATAAGCTCAATGTGATGCCATATTTCACTACTTACTAGAGCATACATATCGTCCACCTGCTTTCGTGGTATTCCATGATTAACAACCACAAAAAAACCTGCTGTCGTAGCAGCAGTTTTGAGTTGGTTGGCAATCTCGGCACGTTTCGACAGACTATCATAGCCTGCCAGATCAACGATACATAGCGGTGCCCAATCCACTGCTGCCATTATAACCTGTTACACCTTGCTACATATATATACAACAAGCTTGCAACTTTCAAGAATATTATTGAGCAAAACACTACATCACAACCAATATCGCACGTGCATAAATTCAGCCAATCATAATGAGGCACGTATCTATTTGCTTCTTCATACGTGATTCCATTTAATACAACACATAAAACAGAAACACTTGTGGATATGATATATCCAACACCTAGACATATAGATCTACATGTGAGCGATGCATATCTACGCGTGAATCACGTAATGAAGTCCTATATGGCACATAAGTCACGTCGAAACGATAGCATTCGTCGTTGGCTTGGCCCCGAGCTTATTGAAGGAAAGTCCTTCATACAATTGCAACAGACAAGAAACACGAATCGTAGTCTAGTGCAATTCTAGATAAGCTCATCAGCCCCGTAACCGCACTGGCATTAAGAGTAGCACAAGCGTGATCCTTTACTGGGAACGGACAGTTGATTTGCACTCAGGACCTCTACAAACACAAACCCTTTTGACAATTTGACTGTTTTTTTTGCTGCTCTTTCAAAGTCGTATTCAATTCTAAACCGTTGAAAAACAATCTTTCTCACTGCTTCATTCGAAGTCCTGCTCTATATACTAGTCGGAATCTCTCTCTACGCACTGTTGGCACCATCAATATTTTGCTTCTCGGTGGCACTTTTGGGCTACAGTTGTCAACCTTCGTCACGGCATCATCGGCTGCTGTTAATATCTCAAGCTACTGGCTATCTGGGGACTCTTCTCTCCTATGGCTCAACAGAACGTGAACCACCAGCTGGTTCAGATGTTGGTTGGATTGCAAGCTATGCAACAACAACAAATTGATGCAGCAGCTTTACAAACTGCTGCTACCCAACGACAGACGGCTGCTATGGCTGCTCAGGCTGATGCTTTGGCGTTGTTGGCTGCTCCTGGTCCTGCTCCTAATCCGCATGTCAACAATCGGATTCTGAAACCAGTGGAAGTTGATGTTCCCCTTTTAGCAGATTGATCATTTCTTTCATCCTCCAATCAAGCTGCTCCGAAAGTCGGAGGTCCGAGAGACTCCAATCTATCAACTTCCCATCCTATACATTCCTTTATTTATGTACTGTGCCCATTCAGGTATTGATTGCATATCAGTTGGATGTATCGTATCGGTGACCTTCTGCTGCTTTAGTTTCTGTTTGCGTTCTACAATCTCTGCCAATTTAACACCCGCTTCGTCATCCAAATTTAGGCATTTGACTACATGTGCTCTTGTGGCAGCTATGTCCGAGTCACAGTTCTTGCATGTGGTATAGTTATTGGCCAAGACATCCAGTTTCCATGTTGTTATCATCCTTCTTTGGTTCCTGTTGCAAATATCAACTCCACCCGTCAGCAATGGACTGATCTTCATGGATGCTGGTATAAGGTATGCTCCCATATTGGATGGTTTAGGCATCCATGCCATATCAACGTCATCAGGCCATGCCAATGTACGAAGTGATTCCATATGGGCAATCCGTAGTTGTTTCCAATCCTGAAACTTCATTGTTGGGCTACTTGTTGAAACCCCTGCACAGCCACTTGGCTGTGTAGGAGTATCAAAGGCAAAAGATGTAAAGCTTCTTCCTTCATCAATCAACAACAACTCAACGTATCCATCCCTTATAAAGAAAAGTCAAAAGGATATCGATGATATATGTGATGCTAAAGGAATCACTATTCGAGCTCAATTCACCAAAGTAATGAGCAACCTTCTCTTGTTGAAGGTCTTAGATACCCCCCTTCTATGATGTATTATGTCAACTACTTCTCTCCGGTGACGTTACAACCATTAGCCTTGATGAGGTTCAAGCTCAGATGGAGAACTTGAAGACACTTCATGATGCCAGAGAAACGACCTTAGCCTATAATACTCAAGTGGCTGCCAACAATAGTCGCATCTCAGATAACAACAATGTTTATAAGAAGCCAGATACGAATCGTAATACTCGTACCTTCAAGTCGCCCGCAACTTTAGTATGCTTTAGATGTTGGGATATGGGCCATAGCAGCTCTAGCAGTGGATGTGAAAATGCTGTTAGGGCCTTCCCAGGGTTTTCTGATCAGCCCAAGGACCCCAATATTGGACATAAAAATGTAGCCGTATGCGTCCAATGTTGGAAGTCTGGACATCGTAAATCGGAATGTAGTGGAACATCTAGACCATTCCCTGGTATCATCCGAGTAACAGAGGCTGCCACTATTACTCGAAACGAATCTTCTAATTGGTTGTTGGATGGTGGTGCTTCTCATCATATGACGGGTGATGCTTCATGTCTTGTTGACAGTCGACCAATCAACAACCGTGTCTTCGGTATTGGTAATACATCTCTGAAGGTTACTGGTATCGGTCGAGTCATTGGCCGTGTAGGAGACTCGACAATTATCTTGGAGGACGTACTACTAGTCCCCAATCTTGCTAGAAACCTGATTAGTGAAGGGTTGCTCTACGATCAAGGGTATAAAGTGGCCAACACGAGCTCGGGTGATAAACTAGTATCATATGACAGTGGTGGCCTGCATTCTTGGTTAAAAGATCCAATAATGTCTATCCACTGGACATTAGTCTGCACTCTCCTGTAGTTGCCAATGTCTCTCTCTTGGACATAACAACCCTATGGCATCGAAGACTTGGCCACCCATCTGTCAATCGTATGAAAAGCACTCTTCCTGACATCGACTTTGACTCTCATTTGGATGAATGCCGCTCTTGTATTCGGGGAAAGATGTCAGAGGACTCGTATCCAGCATCTAAATCACCTAAGCCATCAGTCTTGGAAGTATTAGCAGCCGATGTTATGGGTCCATTCCGTAAAGCATCTAGAGATGGGTCTATTTACTACTTGGCTGTCTTGGATATTGGTAGCCACTATGGTTGGATTATTCCATTGAAGAACAGGGCAGATGCTACTCCTCGGATTGCAGATCTCATTCGCCTCCTAGAGACTCAATATAGTGACTGTAAAATCAAGGGCCTACAGACCGATAATGCTCCTGAATTCACCGGTAAAGCCATGCAGGAATTCTTACGTAGTCGAGGGATCATCCATCGACTCACCATGGCATACTCGCACGCTCAAAATGGTGCTATAGAACGATACAACCCCACTATCCAAGAACATAGTAAAACAATGTTGGATGCTGCATATTTAGAATCTCGTTTTTGGTTGATGGTATGCTCACGGCTGTCTATTTGGAAAACCGGACTACAACCAGTGCTCTCAAAGCTCATATAACACCATACGAAGTTCTCAACGGCAAGGCTCCAACTTATGACAATCTTCGTATCTTTGGGTGTGATGCCATCTGCCACGATCCAACACAGCTCGATAAACAGAATCCACGAGCCATAGATGCTGTCTTTATTGGCTACGAACCTACTCCCTTTTTTTTTAATAACGTGTATA